GGGGGGGGGGGGACCCTGCGGGATTGGGACACTAACTTAATTCGCCACGCAGTTTCCAAAAAAGTTCTAAAGAGGCGCATCTGAAAACAAATGAGATTCAACTTTGTCCCTTACAAGCCGCCGTTCGACGTCATTTCTTTGCCCTCTTCCTTGGGGCGAAACCATAAGGCCAAGGAAGGGAGGGGGTGACCATCCCGGAACGTGGTTGTGTCCAGGCTAACATTTTCTCAGCGAGGTTTGGCTCTGTTGCTTCCCCTGCAGGTAGAATCGTTGCGTTCGTTTCGCTCGCGTGGGTTTTTGCGCGGCCGGGTTGCGTGCTTGCCAAACGTTTCCCTCCGCGCTTCCTCGGTTTTTAAAAAGGGGCATGCATTTTTTTTTTGAAAAAATACATAACTTGCAATGATTTTTTCCCCTCCCTTTCTCACGTGGACAAATTGCAGGCGAGCTTTTTGGGGGGGAGGGTGAGGGTCAGAAGTGCCAACCGCTTGTTAGGATCGGGTGCAAACTCCCCCCGGGGCTGCATTCACACAACCTGGATAGCAAACTCGGGGTTTGCATTCGCACCAGCTGCAAACCTTAGTTGGTTCGAGGGCAGACTTAGCCTGCTAGGTGTGAATGCAATCCAGCCAGTTTGATTAGGGTTTTGGGGTTGGTTTTTTTATGGTTCTGGATTGCAAGTCCCCAGAAAAGGAGGCGTATTGTGTGAACTGGACCCCGAGCTGCGTGATCATGATTGCTAAAAGCGGGGGTCGGGCTGTATGATTCTTAAGACTTGATTCCAAGAAATCCTCATGACATGCGCCTCTTATTCTGCAACTTAACCCAGTATCCTATTGTCCCCGTTCTGGTTTCCTAGCATCTGGGACTACAACTCCCAGTATTCCCAACCAGCGAATTGAGAGCCGTGATCCAAAAAACACATGGTTGGTAAAAAGGCATGTATGATCTAATTTTGCAACCATCCAAAGAACTTTGGTTGCATTGAGGGGGGATGAAAAATAGAAAATATGGAAGAAAACTAGAATTAGCAATGTTTGGCTAAAACTAAGATAGGAATTAGAGTTGTCTAGAATGGGAAGGGAGGCTGTGACTAAGCTATGATGTTGTTGATCCAGTCACCAAGGTTTGACATGATTTGGGAGATGGTTTAGCAGGATGCATAAGCTTCACCTATCTGTAATTGAGCAAACCATGGTTTAGTGGATGTATAAAGTCTCACAGACTGTACACACGACTGGCAGGGGAGGCCAAGAGGAAGAGTTGTGCAGGGATGGGTTATGTTGCTGCCTCTGGCTGCGTTCACACAACAGCTTAATTAATTTTTGGAACATCTCTTGTTGACCACACAGTACACCAGGCTAAAAACCAGGAAACGGAGTTCTCATCCCACCTTAAGCATGAAAACCAGCTGGGGGAACCTTCCTCTTAATGTGCCCAACCCACCTTGCAGGGTTGTTGTAGGAAAAAGAATAAGAAGGAGCATTAGGTATACAGGTAGTCCTCGACATACAACTACAGTTGAGCCCAAAATTGATGTGGCTGCGTGAGACATTTGCTAAGTGACCTTTGTCCCGTTTTACGATCTTTCTTGCCACTGTTGTTAAAGCGAATCACAGTTCTTATGTTAGCTGCACGGTCGTTAAGTGAATCTGGCTCCCTCATTGAATGTGCTGGTCAGAAGGTTGCAAAAGGGACACTGCAACCGTCATAAATACGAAGCAGCTGTCCAGCATCCAAGTGTATCCCACAACCAGGGGGATGGTGCAATGGTCATAAGTTTGGAAAAGGGCCACATGTGGTTTTTTTTTTTTCCCAGTGCCATTGCAAATTCCAATGGTCCCTAAGCGAACTGTTGTAAGTTGAGGACTACCTGTATTCAATATTATTTATTAAATAATTAATGTATTTAATAAATGTATTTAATAAATTAGTAGTTATTAAAAAAAAAACGAGAAAGGGATTAGCCCCCACAAAAAAATCTCAACTAGAAACGAACTCAAGGATGGCACCTTATGCAGACGCGCAGAAGCGGCTGACCCGGGTTCAGGCGGGTTGTGTGAACGCAGCCCGGGGAGTGGGGTGGGTGGGGGGAAGCTGCTTCCGTCACGGCTACCTCATCGTCCGCCTGCCTTTTCTCCGCCGAGAGGAAAAGGACGGGAAGGTGCCGATTGGGCGAGCGCGACGGCGGCGGCGGCGGCGGAGCCTCCCCCGCGGCTGCCAGGCCTTGCGCCTCGCCTTTCCGGGCTCCGGCTCTTGGGGAAGGGATGCGGTGGGGCGCTGCACCCGGCTCCCCGCGGGGACAGCATGACCCGGCGCGACCGCCTCATGAAGGGAAGACCCCAGAGGCAGCCTGAAGCCGGCGCCGACGCCCGGCCGGGTGAGTGACAGAGGCGGGAGGAAGGCTGCTCGGCGGGGCGGAAGGATGCAAAGGAGGACGGTGCCCGTTGCAGGCGATGCTGAGGGAGGGAAGGGGTGGTGGTGGTGGTGGAAGCGCCCTCCCCCACATCCAGCTGGGCCCTCGGCCGGCCAAAACGAGGAGGGGGAGGTCCGCCCCTCTTCCCACCCCACTTGCAAGCAAGCCGGCTTCTGTCTTTTTAACGCGGGTGCATTGCAGCAAAATTTGCTTTCAGTCGTACGGGGGGGAGGGGGGGGAAGGCAAATTCTGTTATCACCCCGGCACACAATTTCAGGGCATATTGATGGGGGGGGGGGTGGGGGGGGGGGGGGGCATACATGAGAATAGCGCGGGGTGGGGGGGGGCCCCACCCTGCCAGATTAAAGGGGGTTCCCCCCCCCCCCCACACACACACACTGTTTATGACAATACAGCAACCCTGGGAAGTGCATTCATCCCATTTACTGGGTTTTCTGGCAAGGGAGGTTGGAAAAAGGAACGAGGCTCAGCGGTCAAACCCAGGGTTTAAAGCTAACCAGGCTTCCTTTGGGTGAATGGTCACCAGGGTTAGTGGGTTGAGTGAAGCGTGGGTTGTGTGAACCTGGCTGCTCTTTGTTTTATAGGGCTTGGGACTGGTTTCATGGGATGGCAGCCTTTTAGGTGCAAAACAAATGTGTGTGTGAAGAACCAGAATTGAGGATGTCCAAGGATGACAACCCTCCCCCCCCGTGATGTCATCACACCAAAAAGCACCACTTTTACTGTTATTTTATTATGTTATTTATCAAGTGTATGTGCCTGGCGTCTTGTTAGCCCAAGCCACTCTACATACAGTAACTTGTGTCCATATTTTGGTGTCATCGGGGTTTGCTGACTAGAAGGCACCAGAATTTGAATACAGAACCCTTCCAGGCAAGCTAATGCTCGAATTCACAGACACCCTTTTTCTGAATTCAGCCCCACCGACCTCCACCACTATCCCAATTCCTTGCAGATTTGCTGAGAAATATATTCTAATAGTGGACGCTGTGTTCCCACAAACAGCATTTGACTGAACTCCCCAGATGTGAGTCAACAATTCCGATCACTTCTCAATGGCTATGATGGGCTGCCTTGAGTGTTATACAGGACAGGTGGTCCTTGGCTTATGACCACAATTGGGAACAGAATTTCTGTTGCTAAGCAAGGAATTGTTCTGACCAAGGCTTTAACACACTAATAAACATACGTTAGTCCCAAAATCCTTTTTTCTTTATTTCAACGGTTGTGGATTTTAGTCATTCACAGCCCGTAGTGAGTCTAAAACAGTTTGTAAATGGTCCCATGGAAGTCTGCCAAAGTCTTTCAGGATAAATCTGATAAGCCCCCACCTTTATCTTCCTTGAAATGCTGCCAACAACTAAATGAGGCCAAAACAGAACACAAATTCAACACTGAGCTTCAGGCTTCAAACCGACCAGTACGAACAAAGTTGCTTCCTGCAAAGATTCCTGTCCCTTTGCTCCTCCTTTATGTCTTATGGGAGGGGCCAATCATCCCCAAGCCTTACCCCCGAGTCGTCCCTTTTGTCTCAGCTGCTCTTGCCTTCTGGCAGCTCTGCGCACGTATGCACTGGGAACAGGCTCCCCTTGTTCCTCTGCCTCACTGCTGCCAGATTCTGGAGGCTCTGGAGTCAGCACATTACTCCCAGATGGCCCTGGCCCCATCTCTGTATCAGACGCAGGACCCTCGTCTGAGTCCTCCCCAGACTCCCAGATTGGCCCATGTTCTTCCCCACTGTCTAACTCTGCTGCTGTCTCCACAGGCTGCGGACAGACCACAACAGGAATTTGTTAATGGAGACATGCCAAATTTTACCACCAATTTTTTGGGGGCCGCAGTTGTTAAACAAGTCACTGCAATTGTTAAGGGAATCCCGGGCTGTTAAGCGAATTTAACTTCCCACGTTGACTCTTCGTTGGAAGCTGGTTAGGAAGGTTGCAAATGGTGCTCACGTAATCCTAGGATTCTGTAACTGTTTACAGTACGTGCCAGAGGCCAAGTGCCCAAATTTAAAGGCCTAGTAGCTCCATTGGATGCTGGGTTAAAATCCACACAAACACTAAACTTGAGTTCATGGGGACTTCCATGATGTTTCTCAACCTTGAAGACTTCAACTCCCAGAATTCCCCCAACAGCGTATGTGACTTCGAAATAATAGAAAATATTTGTAGCTCGGGTTTTAGATTTAGGTTTGCTCCCCATGCTTGTTGTTTCCTTCTCCTATTCTCCTTAGTTATAAATGTCGTGTGCACGAGGCAATTATAACTAAGGAGAATAGGACAAGAAAATCCTGCTGATGATGTTATCCAGTCTGGCAACGAAACGTTCAGAAACAAAATTGAAAAAAGCTTGGAAAGCAAACCACGGCCAAAAGGAAGCATATGCGAGACTCCAATTCTGGAAGTTGGAGTCTACCCGTCTTCCAAGTTGCCACAGTTGAGAAACACTGCCTTAGTAAGTTACATACAAACCAGGCCCTTAGCTTATGGATCAGTGTCTTCTGCACATGGTGCAGAGTCTTACATGAAGATAGCCATAGAGTGATTCAGAAGTTACTTATTTCAGTAAACTTCTGTGGAATATGAAGATACGCCATGAACTACTCTCGATTTGGTATTTGGCATCTTAAAAAACCTGCCTCACGGTTCCACATAGGTTGCAGCCACTGCCTAGAAATGGCAATTCCAATTATCTGCAGTTTTCTCCGGACACCTCAATCTAGTTCCAAGTGTTTCCAGATATTTGGGGTTTCAGCATCCTCTGGCCTCCACCAGCTTGGGCGCTGGCAAGGCATTTTGGGGGTTGCAGTCCACATTTCGTGGCTTTCTGTATGTGGTCGCCAAGGTAGAAAGGCACCTAGATCTCCGCCATTTTGACTTGGGAAAAATGGGGTCCCTCCAGTTCCAGGGAATCCTTCATCTCTGGTTGTTCAAGCCCCCATTTTTTCTTGTTGACCCTCCTCCCTCTCATCCTCCCCCTTGCTCAGAGCTTCTGAACTCTGATAGCACATCTCATTTCTCCGTCAATACGCTAGTTTCTCCTCTCAGGCCTGAACACGTTGCCATAGCAACTCCACATTGATGCCAAGTTGAGCAATGGCAGAATCACACCGTAATTGGATCCCAGGGCCTTGTGGTCCAGGGAGAGCCTCTAAGGGAAACCAAGCTATGGAAATGCTGCTGGTTAATGGAGGTCTGTTCTAGATAACCCCTCAAACTACTCCATGACAAGCCTAAGCTAGGTTTGCAAACCAATTTTCCCTGCTGATGCATAACCATGATGGCTAGTTATGGCGTGGAGGGGTAGGAGGGGAAGAAGGAACGAAGTTGAGTAGTTACTCAGTTTTCCTCTCCGTGGCCTTGATACGTCTTCTGGGGCCAAATTGCATTATAGGTAGTCCTTGACTTACAACAATTCATTTAGTGGCCACTCAAAGTTACAAAAGCGACTCATGGCCATTTTTCACAGTTACGACCAGTTTGCAGACTCTTCATAATCACGCAATTGAAATTCAAATGCTCGGCCACTGGTTTGTATTTATGATGGTCGCAGTGTCCTGGGGTCACGTGATTCCCCTTTACCGACCTTCTGATGAGCAAAGTCAATGGGGAAAGCGGGTTCACTTAACAACCGGGTTGCTAACTTTATCAGCTGCAGGGGTTCACTTAACCAACTGTGGCAAGAAGTGTCATAAAATGGGGCAAAACTCGTTTAGTAAATCTCTCAATGGAAATTTGGGGATTTCCGTTATGGTCGTATGTCAAGGACTACCTGTATAATATGGAAGTTTGGGTTTTCTTATTTTCTGGGGGCAAATGATAAAATAGATCATATTTCAATATAAACAATTTATCACCTGATACTATGAATCGGAGTGTAATATTTCCCCCATTGTGTGGGTTTTATTGTGCTTTTCTTCTATGGTCAAACCTTTCAGTGTAGCCTAAACTGGAAACCTAGGGATATTTATGCAGTAAGCAAAACTGAATTTAAAAATCAATCTTTGTCTGTTAAATACAAGGGATCCAAAGTATAATAAAGGATATTTTATTCTCCAGAGGTTTATTCTTTCAAGGAATTGTCACTTGTTTAGTGACAATTGGGGAGTAGCAGCGTGGCTCTTAGCAAAATAGTTGCTAAGTAAAACTACAACTATGCTTAGTTTCACTCTACATGTAATCCTCCTCAACTTATGACCGTAACTGAGCCCACCATTTCAACTGAAAATCACAATGGTCATAAAGTGAATAATCACATGACGATGCCTGATTTTACAAACTTTTTTTTTTTGCAGTGGTCATTAAGCAAATGGGGCAGTCATTAAGCGAACCCATTGTTTGCAATTGGGCGATTTTGGCTGGAAACCAGAAGTAAACACGTTTATAACAAAAACATTATAAGACCGAGTCATGTGATGTGACACAAATGGCCGTAAAGGCAGGCCGTTTGCGGAGTGCCCAAAATGTGTGATCACATGACCACAAGCTGGGGATGAATGGGCAGAGGTCAGATCTTGGAATCCGTGTCACGAGTCCCATTTTTCAGGCTGTGTCATAACTTTGAACAGTCGCTAAGCAATCCTCTGTAAGTCGAGGCCTACCTGTACGGACCTGAGTGGGTGGAAAAATAGGAAGACTGGTCCCAAAGTTCCTTTCTCACCAGTGCCGAAACTGCAAACGGACACTAAAAGAGGCCGTTGCTAAACGAGGACCTGCATCTCTGCTGGATTTCTAGTAGTTAGTGAGACAATTTTCAGTTCTCTGATGAGCGGAAGCAGGATTGGTAAAACAAGCTCTGCTTTATTTAGGGTAGATTTCTTTTCTGAAAGGATGTATAAACCTGTTTAAAGCTGAACCCGAATCCTCTCTAACTCCCCCTCCCCACTTTCTTCTCCCCCCCACCCCCCAAATTCCCATGCCTGCAGGTTATATTCTCACCCGACCAACCCTGGTCCTCATGCTGGAAAGGGGGGAAGAGCCCTGTGTGAGCAATAGCAAGAACGGCGTAGTGAGCAACCCGCTGAATAGCAGTGTTGCAGGTAAGGAAGGTCTGAGCGAGGAATGTGAGTCGTTTCATTGTTTGCACAAACCATGCACACATTTGGCGTTTCTTCAAACGGTGCAAATCCAGAAAGATCATGATGCATTCTTTAGATAAAAAAGCAAATAAATATTTAGATAGATAGATAGATGAGAGACTAGATAGATATAGATGGATATATAGATATATAGATGATAGATAGATAGATAGATAGATAGATAGATAGATAGATAGATAGATAGATAGAGATATAGATAGAGATATAGATAGAGATAGATATATAGATAAAAAGCAAATATATATATATTCCCTCCATTTAAGCTCCGCCTAATGTCAAGTATAGGTAGTCCTCACTTACCGACTGTAAATTGGGAATGGGAACTCTGTCACTAAGTGACAGTCACTTAAAGCGGCACATCGTGTGACTGCCTCAACTTAATGAGGGCAGTTCCGGCTGTCCCCCAATTGCTGTCATTTTGCAGCATCCCGTGGGCGCAGAATTTCCATCTGTGACCTGCCAGTTTCCCTATGGACGTTGCTTGTTGGAGGCTGGCAGGGAAGGTGACAAAAACGGCAACCATGAGACGCCACAACTGTTATAAGCACTGCCCGTTTGTGTAGCCTCCAAATTTGGATATCGCAATTGCAACCTCTCAGTAACAAGTTGCTGGGATGTTGCAGTGGCAAGGCGATGGCCAAGCCAATTACCTAATCGTTGTCACCGACAGCCACAACGATGAGAAAACCCTCTCATTCAGGGCCATCGTAACTTTGACTAGTTGCTGGACAAGTGGCCGTTCAACGAAGACTGCCTGTATTCTACCTGCAGAATAATTGGCAGACAACAGCACTTGAATTTGAGGCAGGAAAAGGGAGGCTTGGTGAGGGATCCTCTATTTTAAAAAATTTTCTCCTTTCCTTCCAGATTCCCAAGCCTTGAAGGAGAACACCAAGTCACCTTCGCCTTCGCCTCTGTCTTCCCCACCCGCCACGGAGTCTCCCAAGCCACCGCGTCCCCGCCGGCGGCGGCCTCCTGCTGTCCTGCCCTCCGATCGTCCCTATCAATGCAAAGACTGTGGCAAGCGCTTCGTGTACCGCTCCAAACTGGCCACCCACCAATGGACCCACTGCGCCGAGCGCCCCTATAAATGCCCCGACTGCCCCAAGAGTTTTAGTTACCCATCCAAGTTGGCCGCCCACCGACGTACGCACACCGGGGAGCGCCCCTTCCCTTGCTCTCTATGCCCCAAGCGCTTTGGACATCGCTCCAAGCTGGCCGCCCACCAGTGGATTCACACGCCGGAGCGCCCGTATAAATGTGCCGATTGCCCCAAGAGCTTCTGCTACCCTTCCAAGCTGGCCGCCCACCGCCGCACGCACACGGGGCAGCGGCCGTACCCCTGCAGCCGCTGCGGGAAGAGCTTCTGCTACCCTTCCAAACTGGCTGCCCATCAGCAGATCCATGCGGCCACCGCAGCGGGGAGGCCTTACCCGTGCATGCGCTGCAGCAAGAGTTTCCGGCAGCTGCGCAACCTCACCCTTCACCAACGGGTGCACGAGGACGGAGAAGCAGGTGACGACTTAGCCCAGGACAAGAGCCACAGCAGTGGGGACAGAGCCTGAGTTGGAACCGCTGGGGCTCTGCAAGGGAGAAACTTGGATAATTTGAAAACTTGGTAGCTGTGGAAATCGTTGTAAATAATGGAAAGTTATGGTGGAGGTCAGGGTGGCACCGTAACCTCCAGCAACCCATAACTTCTCTGTTCTCAGCTTTGATGGCAAAAGGCCAAATGACAGGCTCCCCTCTCCAGAGGCCAACCTGCACGCACCGTGCTGAAAACTCTTCTGGTAACCTTGTTTCTGCAGTGACCAGTGGCCTATTCTACAACCTGGTTTAAGTTATGCAGACTTCTGCACCTTCACAATTTGTTTTAACCTTCTGGTTCTCACAAAAACACAATCCCGGTTACTCCATAGACCATGTCAGTTCCGTGCCAAGAAAACAAAAACCACCATTGAGATTTTCCCACTAATCGCATTTAGAGAAGTGAATGCCTGCACCAAACCTCACTTGTCAGCAGAGCAAAACCTGTTGTGTGCTTTGCACAAAAGGAGAAACCTCTTGTCTGTGGCTGTGTGTAGTTTTGTTTTATGCTCAACTGGTGCATGCTTCTGTCAGAATGTGGAACTCAGCATCCCTGTAATCCAAGGCTCTATAAACTTGTATCTTCAATGTGCATTATACAGGGGCTCTGTTGCACCTGTCGTGACCAGTCAACCTTTGGCCGTGGAAATGGAAGGTTTAATATGCATGAACTGAGCACATCGTATTGGACATGAGCTGGGTCTGCTTTAAGAAGAAATCTCTGGGTTTTTTTACGAAACAAAAGCTGAGTCTGACAACGTGGCAATTGGTGAAATCCACCAGTGGGATCGCTTAAGACACAAATTCCAGGCAAGAGTAGTAGGCAACATTTATGTTTTAAAGAGTTCTAGAAGCAGAAAAGTCATTTGGCAAATTTGCATTACCGTCCAGGTTTGTTGTTTACACGTTGCATCAAAAGATGCCTCAGGCCAGGTTTAGTGTGGGTTGTGTATTAAGGGTGAAGCAAGTGCATCCAGTAGTATGCGTAGAAGGCAGATTTTACACATGAATTTCTCTGGCTAAAAGGGGCTGTATAATTTTATTTTCACCATGTAGTACACACAATTTTATAGCCTGCTAATCCTTGTTTACTCCTGTGTGTTTGGTTTAGTTGTACCACATGCCTAAAGACACCGACAGTTGCTATTTTGCCCTCATTATTGAATATTAAGTTCCCTCTGGGATTTTTTTTTTCTCTCCACCTGTTTCTCTCCCCTGCTTTTCTAGACCCAGGTCTGCGTTTCACTACTATCCACAATTAATACACACATTTTTTTCCCTCAATAGTTAGTAAAACCTAATACAGGTAGTCCTCGACTTACAAACACAATTGAGCCCAAAAAGTTCGGTTGCTGAGTGAGACATTGGTTAAGTGAGTTTTTAGCTCCATATTACGACCTTCCTTGCCAATGCTGTTGAGCGAATCACTGCAGTTGTTAAATTAGTAACGTGGTTGTTAAGCAAGTCCGGCTTCCCACATTGACTTTAACGGTCAGGAGGTCGTAAAAGGGGATTCTGCAACCGTCATAAATACGAGTCAGTTACCAAGCATTTGAATTCTGATCATGTGACCCTGGGGATGCTGCAACAGTGTGAAAACGGTCATGGGTCACTTTTTTTTCCAGTGCTGTTGCTAACTTTGAACAGGCCCAAAATGAAGTGTTAAGTCGAAGGCTACCTGCGGTGCATCTTTCCACACACACACAAGCACACACCAACTCCCCATCATTCAGGTTTGGGTGAAAGGCAGGTGGAAGTATGTGTGACTGGTTCCTAGTCTGTTCGTAGCCAATACTAAACAAAAAAAAAGTGAAGCTCCATTAGATGCTGGAGTTTTTCATCTTATTTTTCTTGAAATAAAATAAAATATAAAAAGCAAACGCATTTTTGAAAACTTGGTCCGTGTGAGAAAGGCGGGGTTTTATAAGGTAAGTCAGTCACAGCCTGTGAGCTCCAGCATGTGAGCTAGATGCTAGAAAGAATCTGTATACAGGTAGCCCTTGACTTAATGACCACAATGAAGTTTGCTTGCATTCACAAAGTTGTGATGATCGTAAAACCAAGGTGACCAGACCCGTTATCTTTTTTTTTGTAGCCGTTGTAAAGCGAATCCATTGTTCACTGAGCTGTTTTTACACACACACACATACACACACACACACACACACACACAAAACAAGTAAAAGCTGGTTTTTGACACCCCCCTCCCCCAAAAAAGGTAGTAAAATGTGGTCATGAGATGCTGCCAATGGTCATAAATGAGGGTCAGTTGTCGAACATGCAACAAGGCGGACTTGTGACCTGGAGGAGGTGGGGAAGGGAAAGGGGCCATCAGACCTTCAGAACCAGGTCTTAAGGTCCTTTGGGTGGGTCTGTCATAAATCATTAAGCAACTGGTTGTCAATCAAGGGCTGCCTGTGTTCCCCAAAGCCCCATTTCTGCATCTCGGCAAAGACAGAGACAGATTACAATTGGAATAACAAGAGTTGGAAGGGACCTTGGAGGTCTTCTAGTCCAACCCCCTGCTCAGGTAGGAAACTCTATATTATGTCACTCAAATGGTTATCCAATCTCTTCTTAAAAACCTCCAGACTTGGAGCACACGCAACTTCTGGAGGCAAGTTGTTCCACTGATTAATTGTTCTCACTGTCAGGAAATTCCTCCTTAGTTCTAGGTTGCGGCTCTCCTTGATGAGTTTCCATGCGTTGCTTCTTGTCCTGCCCTCAGGTGCTTTGGAGAATAGCTTGGCTCCCTCTTCTTTGTGACAGCCCCTGAGATACTGGAACACTGCTATGTCACCCCTAGTCCTTCTCTTCATTAAGCTAGATGGCACCATCTCTTTTTGGAAGCTTACAAAGAGCGAGTCATTTTGCTAAAAACACTAAGCTTAATTAAGCGGACAACTATCTGATCTAATAAATTATCAGCTCTCCTAGCTGATGCTTAACACTTAATACTAAAGGCATTAGTCCTTGACTTACAACAAATACCCAGAACATTCCAGCTTAGATCTCTGACATGGCAGTTTCAACTCATACTTTAAAAAAAAAAAAAAAAAGCAGTATATACTCACAAAACCCCGATCCTAACCCTAAGAAGTATCAAGTACTAGTCTATGGAGATTCTCAGGTCAGGGTTGTCCCCGAGGTGCTTTTTTCAAGAGGCAACTGGACTTTAGTTTTCTTTGAAGACGTTTCGCTTCCTTGGATGAGAAGCGAAATGTCTTCAAACACAAACAAGAAAGTCCAGTTGCCTCTTGAAAAAAAAGCACCTTGGGGACTATCTAGCTCACTTCTGAACATTGTATTGTTTGTATGGTTTCCGAAAGTTGCTTAAGCATCCATCTGGGGCTCTATGAACAAGGCAAAGCCAGGGCAGAGAAAGTAGAGTACACAGCTTTTACCATGCAGTACTTTACTTTCAAACTTTTCTGCCCTCGTTTTGTTTTCATTGCCTCACTTGAAAGAACTTGAAGCCGTTTTAAATTTGAAGAATTTGAAGCCGTTTTAAGAACTGTCCCTGGCCATCTGAAGCACTAAAATCTTGTAAAATATTTAAAAGCTTATCTTCTCACCAAGAGAACAGGAGTCCTACTTGAGGTCACAGAGGAATATTATCTTTCCCTGGCAGCGTCGACAAATTCTTAAAAGATGTCGCCTGTGGAGACTTCCATCTTGTTTTATTAAAACCATAACATGATATAGGAAAAGAGAACAAGAATACTTCCCGTAGTTTTGTCGCTGGAATCTCAGAACAACTGCTGAACCAAGGTGTAAATTTATAGAAAACAAGCAAGCCCTTGAGTCTTTGTGGAACATGGACTGTACAATAGTAAAGCATTCAGCTAGTTTAGCTGCCAAGGCTACTCCTTTCTCCTTAACAATTTGGCATCATTAAAAGAGTCACTTGCAAATTCCTCTTGTGTTCTTTTTAATGTGCTCTTAAAAGCTAATTTCTCGACACAAGCCTTCCTTGCAAACATTCCATCCTCTGAGACCAGGAATATCCTCTAATACAACCACCTCCAATCCTGGCCCCTTCGAGATGTGCACATTTTCAGTCCCAGAATTCTCTAACTATTAAGACTAGTTAGGGAATTCTGGGAATGGAAGTCCATAAAACTGCGATGTCTTTTGCGGGGCAGACAGACCTGCATCATCTGTACCAAGGAAATCCACTCAAGTTGGGAAGAACTGAGCAAACTCCATCCAGAATGGAATGTTTGTTAATATTTTAGCCGCTCCTTATCTGGGTAAGTTCTGAATTGCCAGGATAAAGGATGAGAAGGAATGAAAGTACAGCCAAAGTTATTCTACGTCATGAATTTAAAAAGAAGAAGTGGTAGGAAGGAGAACTCCCTCCTCAAGTATCTCCCTCCTAATTAGAGGGTTGAGAGTTTCCAGCACATAAAACAAAATTCAGGCTCCAGGGAAAATCTCTGGCTTCCATCTTGGAATCTTTATAAAAAAGAAAATCTGCTTGACAATAATGAATACACCGCAATTGACGAATGTCTCAACAAGAGATGGACCTCCAATTCTGCAGTGCCCATCACAAGTAAAACACTCCCACAACCGATTAACATTTTTTCCTGTGAAAGCAAGGAAGTAAGAAAACCAAGAGTAGAATGGCTGGTTTGATTGCAAATATAGAACTGGGAAATAAGAAACCAGCTGTAAAAATGAGGTAGATTATTCAAGACATCCCAGGCCAGTTTACAGCAACTGAAAAGTGGGAAGGAACGTGACCTTTGGGGAATGGGATGTCATTCTGAAAATAGTCTTAACCTTGAGAACTTTAAAATGCATGGACTTCAACTCCCAGAGTTCCCCAACCCGAATTCTGACTGGAGAATTCTGCTGGCTAGGGAATTCTGGGAGTTGAAGTTCACTCATTTTAAAGTTGCCAAGGTTAAGAAGCACTACTCTGAAAAGAACCTATACAAATGGTCCAATATTTTTTCCTTCCAAAGAAGCAGGAGGGGCCAAAACAATTCATAGTGAAACTGACGATGCTCTGCGGAAAACGGAACAATTCCATCATGAAAATTAACTAAAGCAGTTTCTTATTTTCCTACAGAGGGACTTGGGGAAAATTCATCGAAAATGAAAGGAAGACTTCAGCCACACAAGCCTACCCCAGAAATTGTGATACGGTTAAAGCAATCATGGTTTCTTCTAATACTTCCGTTCTCAACTTTGCTACCATCGGATATCTAGGCCAGGGGTCTCCAACCTTGGCAACTTTAAGCCTGAAGGACTTCAACTCCCAGAATTCCCCAGCTGGCATAACGTTGCCAAGGTTGGAGACCCCTGATCTAAGCCCAAACACCCTCTTCTTCAAATAATTGGTCAGGGAAAGTGTTCACTTAGCTGATGGAGCCCGTATGTAACACTTCTAATCAGAAAAGGGCATTTGCCAACACAAGCCAGGATTGGGCGGGGTTACGGGATGCCATTTTTCCTGGGTGGTTTTGTTTTTTTTTTTTTGTGAAAAATGTGCATGCGATTTGTCAATCTCTGCATTTTACAGCAACGAGCTTGGCTTTGCCTGCAGATACAATCAACAGAGGTTTATCTACACCAATGATGGAGACAAGCCCCACCTGTACTATCGTGAAACTGAAAACACCCTAGGTGAAAAAAACGGGACAGGTTTTTCTTCTGCGAAACCCCAAACTACCTGCTTAAGAAAATAAGGTTTGCTGCAGTAAGGGGTTCAGGGTATGAAAAAAGACACGTCCGTAGGGAGAGGCAAAAATGCTCAGCCAGGACACGTGCCTGGGGAGACAAAGAAGAGAAGACCACCAATACTAAATGGGTAGTGAGAAGGGCAAGAAATAGAAAGGCGTGAAAGAGGCCTGTGAATTTGTTCTGTACATTAACTTTTGCCTTTGTTGAACCCTGGGCTCTAATTTTAAGGGAGCGCCTTCCCCATCCTGGAAGATGACTCTAGCCCTGTTCCCAGAGCAGCCCGCAGCAAGCATTGCTTTCCAAAAGCAGACTGGCTTCCGACATGATGTGGTGGAACTGAGCGGGTGGGGGGAACACAACGAAGACCATCCAAACCACCCCAAGGTTGGAGGGCTTCAGAGGAAGGCAATTTCTCCCAGCAGGAGTGCCCTGTTTCAACTAGCCAGGAGGCTAAGGATCTTCCCCCAAGAGAGACGAATATACATTATATACAAACTCCAGCAGGATGGATCCTCCTATGCTCGCGGCACCACGACATACGGCTGGTGGGGAATCAGCTTCTGCCGGTCATTGCAGTTGTAGATCCAACGGGGACGCACGAAGGAAAGGTTGGGGTTCTCATTCAGAGCCTGCAGCCAAAATTAAGGAAAGACACCATCAACAGTCTTGGAGCTGCTCGTAGTGACAGAACCCAGCCTATTTGTAGACAAGAGACTATTGAAACTGGTTAATCATCATCATCATCCTTTAATGCCCCCATCATCCCTTGCGGGGGTGGAATCTCGGCAACTGAATGGAGCTGAGTGATCACTGGCCGGATACCCTTCCTGTCACCAATGCGGAGGTTTTTTTCCCAGCGGACATATTCTCATTGTGCCCAGAGAAATAGCTGCCTCTACCTGGGATTGAACTTGCAGCCTCCTGTTTGTGAGGCGAGAGCTCAACCTGTAGGCCACCACACCACTCACTGTTGAACCTGGCTAATACTGGCATTCAAATTAATATTTTTCTCCTCCTCCTCCTCCTCCTCTTCTTTCTGGAAACTTCACCTCGTTGTACCGACTCAGGCAGTGTTTCTCACCCTTGGAACTTCAACTCCCGGAATTCCCCTGCCGGCGTTGGAAGTTCACCCTTCTTAAAGTTCCCAAGGTTGAGAGACACCGCAGGACAGTGCAATGGAATGAGCTTTTATGCCTCCTCCAATTCGCTCCATGAAAGAGGAGTCCTCCAAAAATTTCCCCTATCACCATCTCATCCACTTTTCTCCTTTCAACAATTTCATTGCACCTTATTCTGGAGCCAATTTAGCCTTAAGTTCTTACATAAAAACTTCCCAGGGGTTTTACAGATTAACAGAGTTGGAAGGGACCTTGTAGGTCATCTAGTCCAACACCAACACCCTCTCAAGGCCAGGAGAACCCACCGCATTTCTGACAGATTCTGAACCGCAATTTAACATATAGTCTTCATTCTTTGCTCCTGACATGAGCGATGGATCGCCAGAAGACTGGGGTACCTTACTCAATGTAAATCTGACCATTCCTCAAAGCCTTCAGAATTATAGCATGCGTGGTCCTATCGGTCTTGTTGAATGGTTTAAAGGTCTGTCCTTTTGGGCTAGTTTCCCTGAAGATCCAAGCTCACCTCGTCAAATGTGTCATCCCATTCTTGAGCCGTGATCACATAGTTTACACGCTCGTTCATGTAGTCCTCCACTTCCCTGCAAGAAGTCAAAATGTGTGGCCTTTAGAGAGAGTTTTCTTCTTCTCTAGAGACAAGAAATTGTCTAGGACAGGGGTCCCCTACTCCTGGTCCATGGATGTGTGTGTGTGTGTGTGTGTGTGTGATTGGGCTTAGTTTTTTGGGAGGAAAATAAGGGGGGAAAATTATGCCTCTGTCTACCAGCCTCCATTGGTATTTATCTGGCTAGGGTCCTGTCAGTGTGTGAGAGTTGAGGGCTGTTTGGAAACTGAAAGAGTATTTGCTGTGTGACCAAGAAGGAGACAGCAAGGAGCCTTGTGCATGGCTTAGCTCAACTCTTCTGTACTAAAGCTGCTTGCTGCTGTGAAACTAAAACGGAAACTCCCTGCTTGTGTTTTGCATTTGGAAGAGATTTCTTTTCAGGGGAGGAGGGGGAGTGGAACTCCTTAGCATCAGAGCGTGTTAATAAAAATAATGTAGGAAATTCTAAGGCTCTGATGGTTCATTTTGAAAAAAACCTTTCTTAGTGAGCACCTAGAAGCCAAGAGGAACGTATGTGCCACATTTCAAGTTTGTAGGCTTTACAGTTCTGGAGATTTTGTGACGATGCGTAAGTGGTATTTCGCTTTTATGTATAGAGAGATAATGACATCTTCTACAGATGTAATGCAGCATCATATTTAGGCAATGGGACAGCCCTACAGTAATATTCCTGTAAAAACTCACCCGTTAAAAGCAATGATGTAGCGATTCAAGAGGCGTCGTTCCTGAGAAGGGAATTCACCATAAAGGAAGAAGCATTTGCCCACAAACAGATCTGGAAAGGAAAAGCAAAGATCTTGGGAGAAATGGAACAAAGGATGGACAACCCAAACATACCTATTAGTTCTCTAATCGTTCAGCCAGTTTCATCTAGTGGTTTAAGGCAGCAGGCTAGAGACCAGGAGATGGTGACTTCTAGTCCTGCCTTAGACATAAAAGCCAGCTAGATGACTTTGGGCCGGTCTTAGCACCTCACTTAAAAACTGCAGCCCCTAGTAATGGAAGTTATGGTCCCAACTGACTCTCTGTATTAGATATTTATTATTTAGCTAAAGAGTAACGGACTAATAATCCTACAGATTGGAATTTCGATTAAGAAAAAAAATAAAAAGAAATACCAAACTTTAGATCGGTTTGGACAAACCTGGAAGTTCTGGGATAGGCTGATCTGGCTCCCCTTGTTCCTCAACATCTGTGTTCTCGTCAGTGGAACCAGCGTAGGGGTCATTGTCTGGTTCTGGGACTAGCCTCCGTCCACCTTGCTGCTTTTTGCGGTGCTCCTCTTCAACTCTTAAGCCAGAGGAGATACGGAATCAGCTTGGGGAGAGGATCCACCACAGCCACCAAAGGCCTCCAGGCTTCAAACCACAGAACAGAGGTCCCCAAACTTGGCAACTTTAAGACTTGTGGATTTCAACTCCCAGAATTCTCCAGCTAGCATCCACAAGTCTTAAACTTGCCAAGTTTGGGGACCCCTGCCATAGAATCTAAGATGGCAAGCTCTGTTTCAGTTACTAAGCGATGCAGCTGTCAGGATTCCAGCAATCGCCCTAATTAAATCATGATTCTCAAGCCAAACTTCAAAAAACTTCAAAGGATTCATTAGAGGCGACATACTGGCACTGCCCTGTATAGAGCCAACTCTGGCATATATCATTTACAGTCCCCTATGACCCTGTTTCCCCCCTCCCCGCCTGGGTGTCTCATAAACCAGACTCTTCAATTGAGCACGTTTGGGCAAAAGCTCCAGTAGTTTAGTTACTACTGAACTACTAACTGCTAAAACAGGCATAGGAATATTTTATGAGTAGACAGCAGCCAGCATAGAGAGGGTCAACTACCACAGGTATCATTTGAACCAACCTTCTTAACTCGTCATCGGTGTCACCAGACCCTTCGTCTCCGTTGTTTTGAAGACCTAAGAGGCAGCAGAAAGGCAGAAAGGCACCATCAGCAATCTCTTTTATGTCCCCACTGTCAAACCGCTGGGTAAACTGTCCTGATCACTGGTGGGAAGTGGATGGCTGATTAGCTGTCTCAGAGAAGCAAGAATCCTTCATTAACCCCTTCGGCAATCTCTACAAGGTTATTCGGTTAAATCAGCGCCATGAGCCTGGAAGGTGGTTAGATGTTCAATAAATTAACCCCAAGGGGATATGCGACAGAAGTAGGACAACAGGCAACTGAATATAATTCTAAAAACTACTTTTTTACAAAAGCCTACGTATCTGTAAGAGTGCATTCAATGATTCTTTTTGGTTTTGCATATGCCCTAACGTGAAGGGAGGAAATGCTCAGTATTTAACTTAAATTGAAATTGCAGAAGTTGAAATTGTATTATTCTTGTTTTATTCTTTCTATAATACATTCCTTTACTGATATACCGTATTTTTGGGTGTATACGATACACTTTTTCCACCTCCCAAAAGTGGGTGGAAATGTCTCTGCATCTTACACAGCGAATGTTGCCCAAGCCCTGCCCACCCGCTGGCCCCCCACCCTTCGGCCTCTGCCTCCCAGCAATTTGCCTCCTTGCAGCAAACAGCAAACCTGCCTCCCAACGATCAGCTGTTTCAGGCTGCAGGGATCGCCATTGCCTATTGCTACCTCCTGGCATCTCGTTTTCAGCCGGTTCCAATCCTCACCACTTGGAATGGGCCGAAAATGCGGCGCACAGAGGTGGCAATAGGCGATGGCAATCCCTGCAGCCTGAAACAGCTGATCGTTGGGAGGCAGATCCAACTGCTAATCAAGCTGTGCTGAAGCTGACCAAGCTGTTTGCTGTTTGCTGCAAGGAGGCAAATTACTGGAAGGCAGAGGCAGATTTTTTTTTTCTTATTTTCTTCCCCCAAAGCTAGGTGCGTCTTATACTTTGGAGCATCTTGTAGTCTGAAAAATGCGGTAAGTAGATATTGACTATTTTTTTAAAAAAACAATCTCTCTACAAGGTGTATAGAGAGGCATCTGAATCTTGGTTTCAACCACCCATGCCCCACTCACCACCAACCCCACTACTATCAACGAAGGATTCTGTGGGGGCAACGTTCCCCTGCATTCCCAAATTATGCTCCACTCTACCTGCAAATTTCTCATCCCCACTGGATGCCCTTGAATTGTTGTGGATGTTGCTGTTTTGAGAGGTGGTGGGCTCCTCCTCTTCCTCCCCAGGAGACACTCTGGGTGGCACCGCCTGCGTTACTTTGGGGCTGGTGGCAGGCTTAACTTTGTGGTTGGGGCTTGGCACACTGGTTCTCTGGCACAGAAAAGACAGGATTCAATTACAGAGGAAGGCAAACTCACCGCAGCACATTTTTGAACATTTCTTTGTCATTAAATTCTAATATTTTTTAATGTATTTATATTCCACTTTAATTATTTCTATAGTTAACACAAGACAGTGAACATATCCAGCACACCTTCCTCCTCCTATTTCCCCCAGAATAACAACTCTATTGGTGAGTTGGGCTGAGAGGAAGTGACTGGCCCAAAGTCACCCAGCTGACTTTCATGGCTAGAATTCGCAGTTCCTTGCTTTCCAGCCTGGTGCCTTTAAACCACCAGACCAAACTGGCTCTCCTCACAGATTCCTGGATATCTTCCCAACAAAGGAAAAACACTCATAGAGGATTACAATCTAATGACTTACACTAATGCCCAGGTTGCAAAATAACAGTCAAATCAGGTAAGAAAAACCTACAATCAAACTCACTTCACTATATCTCTCTATATAAAAGCCAAATACCACTCACTCATGACGAAATCTCCAGAACCGTAATGCCTACAAACTTGAAATTTGGTGCTTCTAGGGGCTCACTAAGAAAGGGTTTTTCGAAATGACCATCAGATAATTACTATTTCTTAATACAGCAATTAACACGCTCTGATGCTAAGGAGTTCTACTCCCCCTCCCCACCTGAAAATAACTGTTCCAACTGCCAGTTGCCTCACATTCCGTTACCTCAGTTCAAACTGGCAAGACGTTCCACTCCTTCACTCAGGAGCGGCCTGGGGCTCCTTACAGTCCTAAACGTCGGTACCTCACCAAAATTGTCTACGCCTTCCACCTATTGAACTGCTTCCGGACTCAAGGCGGCGGGAGAGATACTCCCTTATGAGTTTCAATCACCGACCACCACTGAGCCAACGGATTGTAAACCAAATTTCTCCTCCATAGCCTAATCACAAAGTTTTGTCACGAAGGACGGGTATCCAGCTAGTATCATATAATAGAAACATCCCCCAAACAAACACATCTAGCTTACCTGTTGAGGAGTCAAAGGTCTGCGAGGCGGAGCGGGGGTCTCCTCCTCGCTCTCTTCCTGTTCACTGCTGGATGAATCGGGGCCACCCATCAGGTACCTAGGAAAGGGAACCTGCCAGTTACAGTCTGAAATGAAGACAGAGTAGAAATCCACCTAGCTCCTGTTCCCCTTGACAACTCACCGTTTGCAGGGCAAGCACCGACGGGTACGGTGACAGTCCAGGATCCATTCTTTCCGTACAATGGTGCCCCCGAGCCCTTTCACCTGGCTGTATTTGGGGGTGTTGGCAAAGGCACAGCTAGAAAGAGAAACAGAGTCGCTCAGCATTGAGGGATCCATTGCAATCTATCAGGCACCAGTATGAAACCAGCCAGTTTGATCTGGTGGTGAAGGCACCAGGCAAGAAACCAGGAGACTGGGATTTCTAGTTCTAGTTTAGGCATGAAAGCTGGCTGGGTGATTTTGGGCCATTCCCCAGATGAATATGAGTTCCAGTCCTGCCTTAGGCACGAAAGCTGGCTGGGTGACTTTGGACCAATACCAATCCATTCATATTTTTGACCCTTCTTTGGAATCTTTTTAAAAAATTATTCTGTTCCACTATTTTTTTTGACATTCGTGTAACTGTCAGCTTTGAAAGCCATATTGGCACCAGAAGATTCCACACTGACACATTCTTGAGCTTGGGAAGTTGCGGGGTGGGGGGGATTTCATGGAGCATATATAGCTAGACATAACAGCATTCTTCTTCACAGTCAAGGTCATGTTATTTCTGCACCTGGATGAGGAGTGTTCAAGGGGTGTCTCTAGTTGGGGTGGATGGTGATTGGGGCACGTGATGGAAGGTTGGGTGCAGGGGGTGGATTTGTAATATATTACTTATTGGAGGAAAACCCAGAACTTTCAGATTTGGGTTTTCCCAGATGTGCCAGTATGACAGCTCAAATAAAATGGAACTTAGAGAAAATGCCTGTCTTGGAGTTTTGCTGCTGGGAGTTTGTTTTTCTGGAAGGCTGACAGTAACTGGATATTAGAGTTGGCCATGGTGAATTGGCAAGTTGTTATAAACTGTAGCAAAATTGTGGGTCTCTTTGAGTTCTTCTTTTACCAAAAACAAAGTTGAGGTCTTGGGCTCCCCAAGCAGAGCATTTGAGGTTTCAAGTGGCTTAACATTTGGGGCAGGGGTCTTCAAACTTGACAGCTTTAAGACTTGTGGACTTCAACTCCCAGAATTCCTCCTCCTCCAGTCATGTTAGCTCAGGAATTCTGGGAGTTGAAGTCCACAAGTCTTAAACTTGTCAAGTTTGAAGATCCTTGGTTTAGGGAATTGTGGGGGTGCATGCATGTTTTAGGAGAATAGACCCATTGGGTACCAGACACGTACATGAGGTGAGTGCTGTCAGGGGTCCAGTCTGGACGGTACTTGGCCCCCATCTCCAAGGCCTTGTCCCTTAATTCAGAGCGAAAGGGGTTCTGGAAGCCACTCAGCACGAAGACAGTACCCTGTAGGAGTTGCTGGAAAGACCCGTTGGCGGCTGTCTCCTCTGAAGACTGCGTTGGAAGAGCTTTTTTGAAAGGCAGCGTCTTCTGGGGAGGAGACGTGGAGAGAGAGACTGCAAATCAACAAAAACAAAATGCAAAGGTTAGGAAAGATGGAAAAGGCAATCCTTGCTCATTCTTTGATGTAAATTACCCAGCCTGTAACAGTAACAGTCAAGGCTTAGAAATCCAAACTCCAAGAAGGTGATGTGCTCAAAAATATTTACATCAAACGAATAATACTTTTTGGGGTTATTTTAAATTTGTTTTGCTGCTTCCTTTTCCTTTTATGCTAGTTTGCATTTTAATATTTGACTCTGGAATCTAATAAAGATATAATAGTAATAAGGATAAAGTCTCTAACGTGCTGAAAATATTTGGTTCAGGGCTATTGCTTGTACAACTGCTTTCATCTTATCTTAGCATTGTTTGCCACTCAGAGACACTTGTGGAGACGCTTGGCCACACAAACTATTGATTAAATAAATAGATGAATTGAAAAAATGTTGTGTACTGCATGAAGTTTTCAACTTGCAAGTTCCCTCCTTTCTTCACACACCTTTGTGTTTTTTGGAAGGTGGGTGTGTAACGCGGGACTTATCAGGGTTAGCTTTCTTGGTTGCTGATGAGAGGCCAGCATTTTCTTTGCTGAACTCAAATTTCCTTTTGACTGGGGTGGGTTCCTGCAAAGACAAAAAAACTTAAGGCTGCAACTAATCCTAAAATACTTGGACAGAAGCTTCTCCCAACTTCATTGGATTTACTTCTAAGACATATATAGGCTTAAGGATCCTTTTAAGATTGGCTGCAAATAATTCTAGGACCCCTAATGCTGCTCTGGTCCATGCTCCTGTGCCTAGAGAGGCGACACAGTAAGACTGTGGAATGGAAGTACAATCGTCCTTGCTTAACAACAGTAACTGGGAACAGAATCTCTGTCACTAAGTGACACGGTCATAAAAACACATCATCATAGGACCATACCAACTTATGACTTCTAGTTGCTGTCATTTAGCAACTTATGCAACGTCACATGGTGGCCATTTGCAACCTCCTCCAGTTTCTTCGTTGACTGTGAAGGTTGCAAATAGAGGTCACATGAGCATAGGATGAACTGCAACGACATAACTCCTCCAATCAACGGCGACGTTGTTACCAGTTGCAGCTAGGAAGGCCAGTTATAAGCACCACTCATTCGGTTGCTGAATGAGTGGTCATTAAACAAGGATTTTTGTTTGTTTGTTTCTCAGTTGGACAGCTAATTAAAAGGAAAAAGGTTGGAATGTGACTGCTTTTGCCCACTCGCATGGCTTCAATTTTCTCTTCTTTACCTTGGGTGGAGTTTTGGTGGTGGGCTTTTCCACTGCTGATGGTGAAGAGTCAGGAGAAAGAGATTTGTTGGTCTGTAGTGAGGCAGCAGCATAACTGGGCGAAGGCTGGTCATTCTGAGATGCTGCAAGAATAGCCATTATTATTATTATTTTATCATCATCATCATCAGTTACCAGTCTCAAAGTGGATGTCTACAGATGGCAAAAACACTGCAAACGCTAAAGAGCAGATAAAGCATCAGAACGGACATTTTCAGCTGAAAAAAAGTTCCATTTCAAGAACGGCCAATGAAGAAGGTAACATCTCACTTTATCAGATTCTATTTGATAATAGCAATTAGTGTTGACAGAGCATTGCAAGAGCAAAATCTCATATATATTATCAGCTTCTAAGTCACAACAGAGAAAGATTATTGCCTGCTGTTGGCTGGGATGAGAAATAGTAACTGTGATCTTTGGATGACTTTTAGGTAGGATAAAAACACTTGTGAGAATTACCTTTAGGAGGGGAGACCAGAGGTTTGCTGGCACGGCTGAAAAAGAGAGCACCAGGTTTCAGAGAGCTGGAGTTGCTGTCATCCTCCTTCACCTTAAACTGGCCCAATTTGGTGACCTTCTGATGCGGGTGGAACAAAAAGAGAACGAGATGCCCAGATTTTAAAGAAGTGTGGTAAAATACAGGATCACAAATCAATGTTGGAAGGGATTATGTAACTCAAGGGATCCTCACCGGTGAAACCGCTTTGGAATGTGTCTCACTGCTGTCTGGAGGAGAATGGAACCGCACGAAGGAAAGGCCATAAGCCAGAGACTGAAGAGAGAAGGAAGAGGATTCAGATTTAGGCAAACCAGACAGCCACAATTTGTCATTCTGTGCATGCCAACTGCCTTCTCTAATGGGCAGACCACTCTCCCTCCAGAGGTGGAACACAAACCAGTTTTAAAATAGAAGGCAGATAAATCTATGTGGCTAATAAATGTTAGAAACAAGTAAGACTAGCATTACTATAGCCTTCTCGGGGGACATACACAACTTCTACAATTCCCAACTCCAAAAAATCTGAAAACTGAAATCTGGAGAGCCTTCATTGCCAGTATTAAGCCCTGGTGGGCTTAATAAGTCAACAGGAAGGTTTGACCTATTGAGAGCTTGCCATTTTCTCTTCCTAGCATGCCTTAGGGCAGGGGTGTCAAACTCAATCCCACAGGTGCCGTATCAGGATCCTGTTTGCCCTTGGGGGCCAGGGTGAGCATGGCCTGGTTGTCACAGCTGACTGGGTGGGTGTGGCCAGGTCAGCATGAGCCGATCCCTCGTCGTCTCTGAGATGACCCCACGAGACAACTCTGGGTCTGTCATGAGCCAGTCTGCCTTAGGGATAAATCTTGCTTAACATAAACGGCTAATAACTGTTATACCTTTTTTGATCCTAGAGTTTAAGTGCTCTTTTGAGAGAAGTTAGCCCACTTGTAAAGTTGCAATTCAATAATTATATACATGGGAATCAGTCTCACTGAAGCCAGCAAGCTTTATTTCTGAGTAAACATTCACAAGATAAGGCTATAAAAAAGGACCAATGAGATTTTAGCTCGTTCAGCTATCTAGAGACCTTCATCTAGAAAAGGCATAATTGCGAACTTCTGGAAGTGAGCTTCACCTCGCCTCCAGAAAGGTGAATACCCAGAAATTTGGAGTCCCATTTAGAAGAAATTAATATTCACAATTTCTGTTTGCCAGATAATCATCAAAACTGCCTGAGATCGACTTCTTTTCTTACATATAAAACGATGACTCTCTCACCTTTGAAATGCAGTTATAAGAAGGCACGGAACCCATTTGATACTAAACACAATTGCTAAAGAGTATGCTAAAAAGTACCAGCTCCTTATCAAACCTCTGAGGAAGAAATAAATGCAGGAGTCCAAGACAGACTCCAGCCAGCATCCCCTATATTTTGTTTCCAAAATATAAACCTTGGTATACGGCTGGGTACAAACAATCTTAACTCGGTCCCACTTCTTCTCAGCTGTAGCCTTCACCAGTTTATCTGGCCCAAACATACGGACTCTGTTCAAGTTGGTGCTACTCTTGCTCTCTGAGGGAGACATGAAGGAGGATGTAACCAACAGCACCTGAGGTGGAATGGAAAGCACTACAATGGAGATCAAGAGACACATCTTTTTTTGAAAGTACATCTCTCACTAAATTCCAGTCTTAATCCAGAAGAGTCCTCCCCAAACTGCCTGAGAGCGAGCAACAGAACATCAAATCACAATTGGGGCTTTTGAGGGAAGAGTGTTGCACACATTAAATACAAGGGGAAAAGCAGGGTCTCTCTTGTGCCTCTAGTGCAGGGGTGTCAAACTCGCGATAACACATTGCCATGTGTTGTATCGCAACTTTTTTCCCCCTTCCCCCCACTAAAACGGGGATGGGGTGTGGCCAGCAGGTGACACATCCAGCCTGTGGACCACGAGTTTGACACCCAGAACAGGTGACACTGCTTTGCCTAAACTGCTAAGCAGTCAGCCTGCATGGAGCCCCATACACACACCTGTATTCAAATGATGTTTGGTTTACATTGCTGGAATCCTACCAATTGTGACTGTACATATTCAAATGGAACAAAGGAAGTAACACCAAACCCCCTTCACTGAAGACACACACACACACACACAAATACCACTTCCATGCTGTGATGGCAACCCTCAGACGACACCGAATTCACTCACCTCATAATTCTGCTCACTGGAGGAGGCAGAGCTCCCAGCCAGCACTTCCACAAAGGCAGAGCCTTCATTGCCAATATCAATGCTGTGAATCTGCTCCTCTTTTTCAAACTGTGAGGGAAGGAGAATACAGTAAAAGATTGTGGAAAATGCAGGAAAGGAGGCCTATAGGCAGGGGTGCCAAACTCACATCGTCACGGTGGCGTCACATGACGCATTGGGACTTTTTCCCCCTTTGCTAAACCGGGCATGAGTTTGACAGCCCTGCTATAAGCTCAGATCTTAACAGTTGGATATTGATTTAAACAAATACGCCCCAACCAGGTATATGGGCCATGCAAACAGCAAATAAAACTATCCAATAATTAAATCAGGACCAAAGTCATCATTATCCAATTTGACTGACAGGGATTATCTAAGACAGCAAGGTGTTCCTCTTCCAGCTGCTGCTTTCGCTAAGATCTTAACAGTAGCTGATTTTGAGGAGACTGGTGGAGGGCTGAGCATACAGTAATGCACTGCAGAACCATGATTAACTACAATAGGAAAATTATGAAGAAATTCTAAATACTACCTGAAAAGCATTTATTTCTGTTATATATATATATATACATACATGCATACATATACATGTGAGTGGTGTGGTGGCCTAGAGGTGGAGTTCTCGCTTCACAGTCAGGAGGCTGTGAGATATTTTTCTCTTTGGGCACACACTAAGAATATGTCTGCTGAACAAAACTCCGCATTGGTGACAGGAAGGGCATCTGGCCATTAAAACATTCTGCGAGCTCCATTCAGTTGCCCAGATTCCACCCTGCAAGGGATTATGGGGTTGTTAAATGGAGATGATAGGTAGATAGACAGACACACATACATACATAGATAGGATTGGGTTTGAAGAACTATAATTTATACATACACATCTGTAACAGTATAAATATGCTTACAGCAAGTTGTCATACTGCAAGTATTCCAACAACTGCAGAAAGTGTTGGGGACAAATCTCACCAAGGGATTAGCACAGAGGTGGGCAACTATGACCCCTTTATGACTTGTGGACTTCAACTCCCAAAATTCCTGAGCTAGCATGGCTTGCTCAGGAATTCTGGGAGTTGAAGTCCATAATTCATAAAAAGGCCATAGTTGCCCACCCCTGGATTAGCAGAAACTCACTTGTAATATGACAGAGACTTGCTTTTCCCCAGCCTGGGCAGCCTTCCACTTGCGATAGGTGTCAGCCTTGAGCAGGTTCTCAGCACAATGCGTCTGTGGACAGGAAGAGAGGCTACATCAATGGCAAGAAAACAATCCTATCCATATTCCATCCTATTCTTTACTCCTTATCCTGTTTTCCTTTCCTCGTTCCCCAATGGTCTTATACATGGACTGGATTTACCCAGCACACTTTAAATCCATCAGAAAGCACAATTGCTCTCTTTCTGGAATTTCTCAACCTCAGCAGCATTAAGATGTGTGGATTTCAATCCCCAGAATTTCCCGGCCAGTTTCTGGAAAAATCGAAGCCCACATATCTTAAAAGTTACCAAGGTTAAGAAACCCAACTGAGCTCTATTCTGGCTTACAGTAATGCGATGGCCTAACTTCATGTAACAGGCAAAACGGACCATCTCAAACCCAGTTCAGTCAAACGTGTCCTAATCCAGCATAATGGGGTTGAATTGTCATCCTAAATCGAGGACTGCCTGTACTATGACAGTCCTAAGCTACCTATTCCCCAAAAGGGAAGCTAGAAAAAATGGTGCTTCAGACTCGCAGACACCCCTTTTTTCTCTCTCTTATGACCCCCTTTCTTCTTCTTCCCCTCTCTGTGTCTTTTTGATTAGGTCCATCCAACACACCAAGCCCTTAAATGAGGGGATCACAATGGTTTATTCCTATTACATGCTCAATGTCTATGGAGAGTCTCAATCTATCTTGGTTGTCCCGAAGGTGCTTTTTCAAGAGGCAACTGGACTCTCTTGGGTTTTCTTGGAAGACATTTCGCTTCTCATCCCAAAGGTGCTTTTTTTCCAAGAGGCAACTAGACTTTCTGATTTTTCTTTGAAGGCGTTTCGCTCCTCATCCAAGAACCTCCTTCAGCTCTGACTGCATGGTGGGAAACGGAAGGATTTATACTCCTTGCAGGCAGCTGGACATTTGCATTCTTTCAGCAAGTCGTTGAGGCCCCTTGGAGATTTATCTTGCTCATGGGGGTGCAAATGGGTGTGGAGCCTTCTCGGAACAGCTGAAAGTACGCTGTAGATTGGAGATAGATGTTGCTGTATCCCTCCCCCTCTGTTGAGACAGCTCTGTTCAATTTTGACACCGATGGCCCCTTTGACCCCTCTTTCAAACCAGCGGCCTTCTCTGTCCAAAATGCGGACTTCGCTGTCTTCCAAAGAGCGGCCTTTGTCTTTCAAATGAAGATGGACTATCTAATCCATCTAATGGACTATCTTTCAAATCAAGATGGACTATCGAATCGAATCCTGATGGGTTCGTTCTCCTAGGTTGTGCCATGAGCTTATGAAGTGGTTGTTTTCGTTTCCCCATCGCTTCTCATCCAAGAAGCTCTAGAAGTGGAGTCCAGTGGCCTCTCTTGGAAAAATCCCAGATGCCGAAACCAATCATCCAAGTTAATGCTTCAGGCAATGGTCAGTTTCCCCATCCATCCTGACTGACCATTAGCTGGGTTCCCCCCCAACACATTGGAGCCCAAAGTAGCCATTCTGGCTTTTGTCTGGTTTAGGTATCATAAGGAATGCAGGCTGCATTGTCTGAACCAGGGGTCTCCAACGTTGGCCACTTTAAGCCTGGAGGACTTCAACTCCCAGAATTCCCCAGCCAGCTGGCTGGGGAATTCTGGGAGTTGAAGTCCTCC